TGTCATGACATTCAAACGTAGCATAAGATACTTCATGGTCATTGCAATTTTGATGATTGGTTGCAAAATTAGAAAAGGTGGTTGAAGGAATGTCTATAAAAGGGAAACAGGACAAGTCCAATCAAAACTGTGAAATATGCACACAGGGTGAGTTTACAGAAAGCAGAAACAAACAGGCAGACGCTAAAGCTCCAACCGTACTAGAGCTAGTACGCACAGACCTATGCGGTTCTATAGAACTAGCAGATGAAGATGGATACAGATATGCAATAGCATTTTTCCATACTTTATTAAAGCAAAGAGTGACACGACAAAAGCTCCAGAAAAATTCATAGCAGATGTAGCTCCATATGGAACGATAAAGTGCATGAGATCTGATAACGGCACAGAGTTCACCGGGCAGGAGTTCCAGTCTTTACTTAGGAGTAACAGGATACGGCACGAGAAGGGTGCACCTTACTCACCTCATCAGAATGCCGAAAGAGGTTGGAGAACCTTATTCGAGATGTCTCGATGCATGCTAGTGGAGAGTAACCTCCCAAAGCAATTGTGCAGCTCAAATCCGCAACAGGTGCTACAGTAGGGGGCTAGAGCAGACACCTTATCAGATATTTGGCTGTGAATTCTACGTATTTCAGCAGGATAAGAAAAAGCTGGATTCCAGATGCAAAAAGGGGATATTTGTAGGCTATGACAAATATAGTCCAGCATATAACATATATTGTCCAGAGACAGGAAAAGTCCTAAAACACAAACTGGTGAAATTCATCACTAGACGGGGCACAGCCAGCCAAACTCAGGAAGATTGTGACATGGGGGGAGACATTGAGATTGATGAGAAACACCAAAGAAGACCGTCAACCAGGGTCAGGGACGGCATAAGGAGTCAAATGTTGAGGAGATTGCTGAGGCAGGCCCAACGCAGACAGATAGCACTCAGAGAGAGGAGGGAGAAAAGATACCCTACGAGACAAAGAAAGGCCCCAGAATAGTTAAAGGAGTACCAGTGTAAAGCTGAGTGTAATAGTGACGGAACTGAAAATATGGATTATTTCTACAGAGTGGCTTATGACAAGAAACAAGTCCCATTGCATCCAGTACAAAGAAAGGATACAGAAAATGATACACGTTGTCTCTTCGTCTAGCTGGATCTGTCCGCCTCCTCCTCCTCCCTGGATTCCTCCTCTCACCCTCACTCTTCTCCTTCCTTCCATTTTGGGAAAACAGGTGAATTTAAACCTGATTGGTGTGTCTACAATTACAGTGTTTTTCAATTGCTAACAAGCATTGTTCAATACTGAAACCACACTTTGAAAACTCTTCACACAGTCTGTAGTATCAAGATTCCTTTTGGCCAAACAGTTAATCTAAACTCCAAAACTCACCCAGACTAAAACTTCATACATCTCTGAAAACAATCTCGTTCCACCGATCAGTGGCAACACGTTTTCATTCAGAAAACATGCATGTCACTCATAACACACTACATAAAAAACACTAGCAACATCCTAACACACAACAATTACTGTATTGTAATATGTTTCCAAATGTAGACTATTTTACTGTAATATGTATCATCTCACCTGTTGTTTTGCTGGAAAATTCTCTCTATTGACGTAACTGAGTGGTGCAGATTTGGCTGCAGCCTCAGACCGGCGTCTCTCACAGTGAGACCACGTTCACAACATTTACAGTATTTCTTCAGATATCAGCGCTCTTGGTCTTCCTCTCCTTTGTCCTCCACACACTCTCCCTCACTCTTCTTTCCCCACCAACCGGCCTTCTGTGATCCATATTTCCAAACAAAGTCAGTTCCAAGCTATCGCCTTTCACTGAAACATGGTAATGAGAGTAAAGCAGGACCTGGGTTGGACTTTCTATATCTCAAAATAGTTAATACAGAAATGTTTGAAATTTGTCATCGTTCTGATTTGAATGTGATTTTATCAGTCTTGAAAGCAGTTTGTTAGCATATGAAAAATATCCTGCAAATGTGCAGTTTGTGGAGTGTGAATGACAAAAGTGTTTGTGGATTTTGAAAAGTGTGGTGATTGAATGCATTTTGCATTCTGAAAGCAATGAAATGTTTCATTGATTCACTATTTGGTCCGTATACACTTGTTTGTTGCTGAATGTGTGAAGAGTTTTAAAAATGTGTTTTCTGCTTGTTGCTTGTTAGCAATTGAAAAAAAATGAACAATCTTGTGTTTGCGCACGTGACGGCTGTGTTTAACCAATTGGCACCTGGGTTTGGTAATTTGACAATCAGTGCTTTGGAATTGCAAGGAAGTGACATCTTGATATACTTCTGTGTGTGATGTATAGAAGTGTGTTTAGTGTTTTGCAAACTGTGAGGCTGACATTGTGCTCATAGTGGTGCAAATCCGAGTTTGGCTCTTTGAGTGTACGGTTTGGATAATTGTTTATATTTCCGGGTATATTCAATCGTAAAAAAACTAGGATTGTTGAGAATCACCACTTGTCTCTCAAGCTTCAAAATAAAATATTTTCCATTCTATATTACGACTGCTATCAGGAATAGCAGTCCATCCCAGTCAACTTTGGGCGATAGACAGGGTGCATCCTGGACTGGTCGCCAGCCAATCGCAGGACTAACACGGAGACACACAACCATTCACATTCACACACCTTCAGGCAATTTAGAGTCCCCAATCAACCTGATCCCCAGAGCGTGTCTCTGGACTGTGGGAGGAAGCCGGAGAACCCACGCAGACACGGGGAGAACATGCAGACTCCACACAGAAAGGCCTCTGGACGGAGCCGAACCCAGGACCTTCTTGCTGTGAGGCAACAGTGCGAACCACCACGCCAACGTACCGCCCTCGGGAAGTATTCAAATGATCGATACAAGAAAATGAATGAGATCATTGGAGTACAAACATATTCCTAAGATGAAATTTGTTTTACTTCGGTTGGTTTTCACTTTAACATGAGGGAGGTCAGGTGTTGTTACTCTTTTGAATGCACAGTAGAGAGCAGCACTGGGTCACTGTTGGAAAGACACAGAGGGAACTGTTACTGATTTAAATCACTTAAAAAAAGGAAACACACACTTGAAAATGAGAATAGCAACACTAGATTTCAGTGGAAGTCACGGTTCATTTTTCAACCCTTTCTGATGTGCAGGATGCACCTGCAGGCCTCCTGTCTTTATTTAACCTCATGCAAATGAAGAGGTTAAGTCTCAGTTCTCTGTGATCCTGCGCATGACTGGAAACACTGATGTATGATCTCGTTATTGTACGTGTGAGAAAAGCGACCTTTTGCAGGGTGACTCTTCTTTTAACTCGTGAAAAAAAGAATATTCCTCTAAACTATTAAAGAAAAGAAATATAAACAATTAGATGTATGCCATGAATTCCAAACGATACAAACAGGACTAACTGTATTACTACAAAACTGCAGGAAATATTTTCAGATCACTTCTTTGCAAAGGTGTTGAGGGAAATAACCTCCACTGATAATAATGCTGACGAATGACACAACTGTGAGAAACATGCAGGTTGAAGCTAAGCTCCTCCCCCTGTCAGTCACTCCCAGCTTCAGTGTCATATTAAATGTCTCCCCCAGCACCTCCTCTCCTCATCCTCCAAAGCCTCTAATCTGGCAGCCGTCAGGTCTCTTTCCAAGTCACAAGGCCATTCTCATCCCACACTGACACCATGCTGGGGACCCTCTGCACTCTCATCACTGCTCTCACATGTGAGGAGGCTGACTTCCTGCAGCTTGGACTTCATGTTGGACTCATCAGTGTGTGTGTTTCTCTTGACTCCATGTCGTCTTGTTGTTTCCAGGTGTGAGTGGTGTGACGGTGGTGACACAGAAGCCTGTTGTAGCCGTGACGACAGGAGAGACAGTCTCCATAGACTGTAACCTCGGGACTGTTACTAACAGTGGTGCTCGCTGGTATAAACAGATTCCAGGAGGAGTTCCTCAGTTTGTATTATATTATTATCACAGCGGCGGCTCTCCATTCTATGGCACTGGTTTCTCCTCTTCAAAGTTCACATCCACTCATCAGTCTACTACAGATTATCGTTTGACCATAAAGAACATCGAGGAGGGAGACTCAGCCGTCTATCACTGTCAAACATGGGACACCTCTGTTGAACAGGGTGTATCACAGTGATTTACACTGTGACAAAAACCTCTACACTAAGTACTTCTGCTTTTGACACGCTGACACATTTTTAGTGAAGCCATCAGTCAGTTTCTGTAACTTGTATTTCTTGTAAACAGATATTTTCAAAATGTTAAACCCATTTATTGAATTTCTACACAAATTCTTAAATCTCATTGTAGTTATTTATACTTATCCTTGTGTATGTCACGGAATGGACGATTGGGGACAATGGATGTTTTATTGATTGTGTATTTATTGATTTATTGATTGCATTTTTATGGTTTATGATTGCATGTTTTATGACTTATTGATTCATGAATGTTTGCATGTTCGATTTAACGATTTATTGTGTGCTTTGAGTGTTGGTTTGAATTGTATCCTCGATTAACAATCGTCCCCAGTGACAAGTTACCAATTAGTGGCATATGCTCAATGGACCAATGGGGAAAGGCCAGGGGCGGAACTTCTTCTTTTTAAACAGGAAGACTGGACTTTGGCAAGGAAGAAGAGAAGGGAGAAGGAGCAGGGAAAGGGAACAGGAACGGGAACACACCGCAGTGTTGAGCAAATGGTGATGGGTTTGGACGGACTATTTTAGCTTCCTTTATATATTTTAATCATTGTATTAAAATAAATATTTTTTTATTTGTATTTCCGCCCCTGTCTCCTCTTGGGTCATTGTTCCACTGCTCTCCCCCAAACAAACGAACCTTGTTTTTAATTATTTCGAGATCCGAGGGCTCTTAGCTTTTACCTAGATGGCGTTGGTGGCAACAGACTTTTAGTTCTAAAAGAACCTCCGCCGCTGACATGTACACATATGAAAATGAAGAAAAGTAAATTACCTAAACACAAGTTATAATTGATCCAACTGTCCTGAAAAATAACTCTTACATTAAATATCCATAACTCTTAAGGTGACGCATGACAAGTAAAGTAAATACTACTCCGCTTATAATCTCAGCTGATCACCATGAGTCCCACAGGGTTTGATTCTTTGACCCTAATTATCGAAATGTTCGGGTTGGAGTCATCCTTCATGAAAATAATGCTGCGAACTTCTATAAAGACTAGACTTTTTATCCTACTAAAAGTTATTATGTGGCTTGGTACTACCTGTTCTTCAATAGAAAAGCAAATAGAAATAGAAATGTCGTTGTTTAAATAACTGGATTTAATACTCAAATGACATTAGCAGACTTGCAAAAACAACATAAACACGTCTTTTTGATCAACAGAATTCATGAAAAGTGTTGATGTGACTCACACACAATGTGTGTTTATGTGTAACAAGTGAATCAAGTGTTTAAGCTCCTCCTCACTGTCTTTATAAGCCTCAGTGTTTCTTCTCCTCACACTCCCGCCCTGCTCACCTCTCAGCTGGACTGTAAGGAACGTTTACAGCTCACACTGACAACATGCTGGGGATCCTCTGCACTCTGCTCACTGCTCTAACATGTGAGATATTCATTCATTCATTTCATGCTCCATGTTTTCATGCACAAACCTTTCCCCTGACTTTTCTCTGTGTGTTGACAGATGTTGATGCAGCGATAGTGCTGACTCAGACGCCTGCTGTCCACTCAGTTCCTACAGGACAAGAGGTTGTCCTCAACTGCAACATTCAGAGATATGATGGAAATTCTGTGTCATGGTATAAACAGGTTCCTGGTGAAGCTCCTCAGTATGTTCTCAGATTTCTCCATGGGAACAATGCTCTCGAGTTTGGATCAGGATTCTCTTCAGACCGGTTCAACTCTAAATCCTCTTCAAGCACAGAATACCAGTTCATCATAAAGCGTTCAGAGACAGGAGACTCTGCTCAGTATTACTGTCAGACATGGGATGACTCTGCTCGTGAAGCTGTATCACAGTGGTTCACACTGTGACAAAAACCTCCATCAGAGACCTACTGAAGATTTATTGATTCTCAGCTAAATCAGACACATCAAATAAGGGAAACTGCTTCAAAACATTGAAGGACAACAAATCAATTCCTGTGAAGAGACAATTCATTCTGGAGCAAATCAAACTGATGATGTTAGTGAGATGTTGACAATGAAAGTTGGTCTCAACAGGATCTTTCAGTTCCACTCCGTCATCAGAGCGAGTCGAGAGGTTTTTGTACAGCCATGTGTACCAACTGAATCACTGTGGTATTCGGACAAGGAACCAAGCTGATTGTGACAAGTAAGTACTTTAAATCTCTTCTTTTTGCGATTCTTTTGTTTCTACTTCATTTTAACAGAGATTTATGTAATACGTTAATCTTTTATTTCTTATACTTTTTGAAGATATTTAACATGTTGGATTACTTTCTTAACAAGTTGTTTTTTAGCAGAAAAATTTTTGTTGTAAAATGTTTTACTATATTGATTTCTGCTAATCACTGATAACTAACATTTAAAAACAATTTTAACAGCATCATACTTTAAAATGATCAATGTTAAATTCTGAATATGAATTTACTGAGTTTGTGTTGATTAACTACTAATATTTTAAAATGAAGGGCAAACTTTAATGTATCTTCTTTATTTAGTTTTAACACCACAATTGCTGGATTTTAAAAATGTAGTAAAAAAGAGATTAAGATACATATAAGACTAAGTACAAATATAACTGTATTTAACATGAACAATACAGAACATCTCGTTGTATTATCTAGTGTGTGAATGATAGACTTTGTTTTTGAACTCTGCTCTGATGGTTTCTAAATGTTTTTTTGTCTTTCTCCTCAATTTACTAACAGATTCCTTTTGCCGCCATGATTTGCATCAATAACTCCACTTCCCTTCATTTAAAGAATGCCTTTTGTGTGTTTCAGGCTCCAGCCTCCGTCCTCCCGTCCTCACTGTCTTTCCTCCGTCCAGTGCTGAGCTGCAGTCCAACAAAGCCTCTTTGGTCTGTCTGTCCAGTCAGTCTGGGCCTTTTGCAGATGTGACCTGGATGTCTGGAGGGAGTCCAGTGGTCACTGGGATCTCTACCAGCACCGCTGTTAAGCAACCTGATCAGACGTTCCACATCAGCAGCTATCTGGCCATCCAGGCGTCAGACTGGAACATGGATAAGGTTTACACATGTAAAGTGTCTTTGGGCTCCCAGACTGCAGAGAAAAACATCAAGAAGTCTGAGTGCCTCACTGAACAACAGTAGAGGAGCAGAAGGACCATTTAACATCTGCTTCTTCCCTCGTTGTGCTGTTTATTCATCACGAGCGTTACATGTTAGAACATGTGTCTCCACGCTTGTAGTACATGTTGTTGACACTTAGGTAGAGGTGTTGTATCCGCTTTGCAAACGGTAAAATGTAGTAAAACCTTTTGAATAAAAAGCATTTTGTAAAACAACATATTTATTGTCTCTTTATCACTGACAGTTCAAGAAAAAGCATATTATACTCATAGTATTCTTTGAACTCATCTAAACTTGTGTGACACAATGTGACACAGGAATCCAGAACCATAACATAGTAACATTTTTACAAACGACCATCGGCCGTTTTTTATTTCCAAAAGGTATAATGTTTTAAAAAGCACTGTCAGAAAAGATCTAGATAAATGGAATCATCTTTTATGTGCTGCAGTCAGACATTGTCAAGTTGAGGATTTCATTAAACATTGTTGAATATTGAGTTTGAAAGATTGGCGTCTGAAAAAATAGAAGTTTGGGAAAGTTTTTAAAGCTGACATATTTTTGAGGCAAATACTATTTACCATACTTACTGTATTATTGACTAAATGGTGGAGTTTTAAATGCACAGAAATGTAAAGTTTCCACTTATCAAATTTAATGTGATGCAACTTTGTGTTTCTTGCATCACATTATAAAACTTATTCTTATTCTTTTGTTGTATTTGTTCTTCAAGTCGTCTTGGAACGTCTTCTAGTAACAATAATAATCCTGGTGTTGCAAAAAGGTGTGTTAATCTTTTTTGTAAAGAACATCAAAATGATAAAACCTGTTCTTGTCTGTCCGATTATCTTTGAAGGAAAGCTTATCATCTATTTTTTGTTTAGGTGTGTATACAAATATAATGAATATAAATAACTACCACTTCAAATATCTGTTTAGATGAATGTAGCCGTGCTAGCGCTACCACCGACGGGTTCTGTACAGACGCACGGACACACGGATGGGAGTAACCAGTTTTTATTGTCCAAAAAGGGGGAATGGCAGTGAGCAGGAATAAGCCCGTTCTGTCCAGCTTCGCTCAGCCCTCGCGTGCTGCTCCCGTGCTCCGCTCAGCTCTGCTCGGCTCATGTTCCTTCCCCCGACCTGGATCCTGCTCACTGCTTTTGAAGAAGGCAATTAGTGCAGATTCCACACACCTGCTTACTCTTCACCTACCAGCACCGTCCCCTGAACCACTCCCCCGCTCTCCCCCCTGCAGCTGAGCTAACCACGCCCCTCCACCACAATGAAATATAAGTTACAGAAACTGACTGATGGCTTCACTAAAAATGTGTCAGCGTCTCAAAAAGCAGAAGTACTCAGTGAAGAGGTTTTTGTCACAGTGTAAATCACTGTGATACCCACTCTTTAACAGAGTCGTCCCATGTGTTACAGTAATAGACGGCTGAGTCTCCCTCCTCGATGTTCTTTATGGTCAAACGATAGTCTGAAGTTGACTGATGAGTGGATGTGAACTTTGAAGATGAGAAACCAGTGCCATATGTTGGAGAGCTCCAGTCGTGATGAAAACTTATTACAAACTGAGGAACTCCTCCTGGAATCTGTTTATACCAGAGAGCAGGATAGTTAGTAACAGTCCCGAGGTTACAGTCTATGGAGACTGTCTCTCCTGTCGTCACGGCTACAACAGGCTTCTGTGTCACCACCGTCACACCACTCACACCTGGAAACAACAAGACGACATGGAGTCAAGAGAAACACACACACTGATGAGTCCAACATGAAGTCCAAGCTGCAGGAAGTCAGCCTCCTCACATGTGAGAGCAGTGATGAGAGTGCAGAGGGTCCCCAGCATGGTGTCAGTGTGGGATGAGAATGGCCTTGTGACTTGGAAAGAGACCTGACTGCTGCCAGATTAGAGGCTTTGGAGGATGAGGAGAGGAGGTGCTGGGGGAGACATTTAATACGACACTGAAGCTGGGAGTGACTGACAGGGGGAGGAGCTTAGCTTCAACCTGCGTGTTCCTCACAGTTGTGTTATTCGTCAGCATTATTATCAGTGGAGGTTATTTCCCTCAACACCTTTGCAAAGAATTGATCTGAAAAGATGTTCTCCAGTTTTGTAGTAACACCATTGGGGCCTAGTCGTGTCTCTACTGATTTAAATTCATGGCAAGGAACCAATTTTGTACATTCTTTTTAATCTGTATGTCTTCTTTCTTAGGTAGTTCAGAAAAATGTTCTCACAAGTCAAAAGGAGAGTCGCTTTACAAGAGTTTCAAACAAATATTTAATAATAATCTACATCAGTGTTTGCAGTGACAGACAGGATTACATAGAAAACACAATAGTTATATGAGGTCAAATGTTATTAACAAACCTCGCCAGAAGTAAAATACAGTTACCTCTTGTGTGCTGAGACTCGACCTCCTCATTTAGAAAGAGGAACGTTGTTTATACTGAAAATATAAAAGAGGAATCCAATATGACCACGACCAAGTCCGGATATTGTGTTAAGCAGAAACAGCCTCATCATACGCAAGAAACATCAGGACGAAATGCGGAAATAACGGAGGTCAATTGATAAAAGAGACACCTGCAGTTGTCATCAGGAGGACATCAGGCCATATCGCTGTGTAGATTGGGTTGTTGCTGTGAATCATTCTTTTAATACATTTTAATGGTTCGTTTTATTGATTTTAGCATGTTTTTTATATTACATGCATGTTTTTTTAAACCATTTCACCAAGCGTAAATTGGACACTATTTTAACCCTCATTTAAGTAGATTGCACTCAATGATCTCCTGCACCTGCAGAGGCTCATTTACTTTAAGGGGACCAATGGGGAGCTCTGGCAGTAAGGAAATGGCCAACAGCGTGGCAGGAGGGCAGGAAGGAGACGGGTCTGGAGGAGTAAGAAGATGGATTACATGAATGGACTGAAGTAGGGAAATATAAACGAGCCGGGAAGCGTAATAGTGCATCTGGTAGCAGTACGGAAGGGAGAGAGGAGGAGGAAGAAGTAATTTTGAGATTTATGTTTTTCTTAATGGGTTAGAATATCATCCCGATGTAGTATGGTTTTGTTTTGTTTTTCAAAGCAGTGCACACAATTAGCTCACACACAAACTCAATTTGCAAAACACCTCAGATCCTTTGCAAAATGAAACACTCTTGTAAAATATATGGTTGAGCATATTTAATAATATGAGTGGCAAAGTCATGTGGGTAACCTGTCCAGTGATTTCCCATTGGAGCACGTGTCCCTACGAGGATGTCGTTGTGAGCATGTGCAAAATAAACACTATTGTGAGTTCCCAGACCAAAGAGACAATGGCCGTCTGTCCTTTTTCTCCCGTGAATATAATACTAGGAGGTATTATCTAACCACTTTGGTGACTGTACTAACAATAGACTGCTGCAGGATGTCTAACGCTACAGGTTATGGGCCCAGTCATGCAGGCCGAAGGTGGTTCAGACTTTTATTCGACGGTGATAAGAAAAGATACGAGCTCTGGGAAACGATGTTTCGCAAATGTCGGTTTATCAGTTGAGGGGCGCACAAATTTGAAAACGAGGCTCAAGCAAGCACTCAACATCCCATTGTTTCCACAAAACATCTTTTCAGTCAAAGCAGCGACGGCCAACGGAGCTGAGGTCCGCTTCAAGGACGGTAATGACTTGCTGATCCTCAAGGATGGTACCAAGTTCAAGATGGATGTGTGTGGTAGGCTGTATTACCTTAGCACTGTAGAGGATGAACAGGTTGATGAAGTGTGTGGTTGTCATGACATTCAAACGTAGCATAAGATACTTCATGGTCATTGCAATTTTGATGATTTGTTGCAAAATTAGAAAAGGTGGTTGAAGGAATGTCTATAAAAGGGAAACAGGACAAGTCCAATCAAAACTGTGAAATATGCACACAGGGTGAGTTTACAGAAAGCAGAAACAAACAGCCAGACGCTAAAGCTCCAACCGTACTAGAGCTAGTACGCACAGACCTATGCGGTTCTATAGAACTAGCAGATGAAGATGGATACAGATATGCAATAGCATTTTTCCATACTTTATTAAAGCAAAGAGTGACACGACAAAAGCTACAGAAAAATTCATAGCAGATGTAGCTCCATATGGAACGATAAAGTGCATGAGATCTGATAACGGCACAGAGGTCACCGGGCAGGAGTTCCAGTCTTTACTTAGGAGTAACGGGATAAGGCACGAGAAGGGTGCACCTTACTCACCTCATCAGAATGCCGAAAGAGGTTGGAGAACCTTATTCGAGATGTCTCGATGCATGCTAGTGGAGAGTAACCTCCCAAAGCAATTGTGCAGCTCAAATCCGCAACAGGTGCTACAGTAAGGGGCTAGAGCAGACACCTTATCAGATATTTGGCTCTGAATGCTACGTATGTCAGCAGGATAAGAAAAAGCTGGATTCCAGGTGCAGCGGGATAAAAGTGCCAATAAATTGATTGAAGCTGCCACATTGTGGTTGAAATTTAGACAATGATGGAAACATGTTTGGACATTTGAAATGTGTCTTTTCTACATCAAGCATGAGCATGTGACCTCTTCTCGCATTTCACTCCTCAATAAAACTACAAATTAATCATCTGGAAATAACCACAATAACACTCGGTTGATGCATCAGCACTGATCGGTCTACGGTCTCTGTGGTCCTCTTCATCTGGCTCTGATCACCTTTGACCCCTTGATTGTCCCCTTATCAGGAGCCCTCATCTGAGCTCTCAGTGGAGACCTCAAACCGATGGGGGGGGAAGCCTCTGTACGGGCCGCTGAGCCACAGACAACCTGCCGTCCTTCAGATTGTCCACAAAACCCTCCACGCTGTCTAACTTTGACGTGAGCTTCCCCAGCTCATCTTTGAGAGTGTTAAAGTTCCTGTAGAGGTCTCGCAGGGCATCGGACAGAGGCTGGATCCTGAACACATGCAGAGTACAAATCAGTCAATTATTTAGTCATTTACATGATCAGCCAAAGAGCTTTGTGTAGTTGTTACGTGCAGTGCTACAAGGGAATAGGTCTACAGATATGGTGTTCTTTTTTTTGAGTTGTTGGTTTGTGTTTTTGTCTCCCCCTTCTGTTTCCATTCTCTCACTTCACAGATGTGCACACCTGTTCCCCTAATCCAATCACCATCTGTTCCAGATCTCCCATCAACCATTCCTCTTTATATAGTCAATGTCAGTAGAGGGCTATTTTATGTTGAGCTGGGCCCTCGGTTGGAAGAGCACTGTCTTGTGGTAGTTTTTGTAATATCTTTTGGTTGTGCGCACAAGGTCAATGAGGACAGGTAAGATACTCCAGGGTTTACATATTGCATACACGTAGGTGTACCTGTTGTTAGTACCCTAGGCTAGAGTGAGCACCACCCACTGTACTTTTGGGTGCTAAGCACCGGTCAATGAGGGGGGGGGGGGGTGTTTATGTTCTTTTCCTTGTTGATCCCTGTGTTGGTCTTTTGCAAAATAAATACTTTTTTGTTACATTTTGTGTGGGGGATTTTGTTTGGCTGGGGCCTCACTTGGTTTGAACTGGTGCCCTTATGTTGAGCTCCAGGTCGAGCCACCCGGGAGCGTAACAGTAGTGCAGTGTAATGTTTCATAAGCTTACATGAGAAGGGAGGAACGTTGGTCATACTTAAAATCTAAAAGAGAAATCCAACTTTAAACATTGACCATTAAAGTCCACAAACTGTGTTAAGCAAAAACAGCCCCATCATACGCAGGAAACATCAGGAAAAAAAAGGAAATAACGGATGTCACTTGATAAAAGAGACACTTACAGTTGTCATCAGGAGGACATCAGGCCATATCGCTGTGTAGATTCGGTTGTTGCTGTGAATCATTCTTTTTAGGTCAGAGGAAAAGCAGAAAGTGCCAACCAGGCAGACACAGGTCTGATGAGGATGAGATTTAGAGACACACCAAGCACCATACAACACTCACGCTTTGTTCCTTATGTTCACGTTATGTTAGAAGACCACACATTGCATGTGATTGGATCTTGTGTTGTGGCGAGAGGACCTGCTCCTCCTCAACGCCAGTTTAGGGCCAAGACAAATCTTTCCGTTTATATCTAACAAGAAATATAAAACAATGTTCTTTGTTTCGCTTAATCCTTCCAGATCTCCCCAACCGGGCTTCCAATTTTTGATCACGTTCGTTCGCTTTGTGTGAGCTTTCAGTAGATTGCGCTCAATGATCTCCTGCACCTGCAGAGGCTCATTTACTTTACGGGGACCAATTCGGGAGCTCTGGCAGTAAGGAAATGGCCAACAGCGTGGCAGAATGAAATGGGGATCAAGTGTGCAAATTGCAGAGGGGCACATAGTGCGGCTTAAGGTGGGTGTGAAGTGAGACAGACGGCAGCAGAAGTGCAGCAGCTGAAAGGGAAAAGGGGATGGGGGGTCAAGGAAGGAACGGCTCAGCGGCCAAATGGACAACGTGTGATGAGTCAAAAAGGAGATGTGTTAGGGATTTAAGAGGTTCACCCCCAAGGGTTGGAAATTATAATACATGTAGTAATGTTTACCGTTAGAATTGTAGTTTGTTTATGTTAAATATTAGTTATTACATTAGCATGTTAGATGAAGTGAATGCAATATGAATCAAACAAAATTTATAGTCATGTAAACTATATAAATGTCAGCCCTGTGAGGCGGGGGACTTAAAATCTAATAAAAAAAAATAAATTTATTAAAAAGGTACCAGCAACGCCACCTAGTTGCGGAGTCTAGGTCTCCATAAAACAGGTTCTTGTTCACCAGAGGAAGAACAGCATGGATCACAAGACTTAAAAGCGTGGTTTAAAAGGAGGATTTTATTATTAACTAAAAACCCATAAATAACTACAATATTAAAAGTCCAGCGGGAACCAAGTACTAAAAGGATTTAAGAATTCGACCAGCCACTGCTGCTGATCAGTCTTGCCCTTTCTTCTTGTTTCCGGTTCCGTTCCTTTCCTTGGTGAGGTGTCCAGTCCGTTTCGTTCCTCTCCTCGTTGCACCCTGCCTGCTCGTCCGTTGTCTTGCCGCCCTCTCGCTTGATTTCCCGTGGCTTCACCTTTCTGTGGCCTTCCTCTTTCTGCCGTGCTTAGTGTCCTTTATAGCAGCTGTGTTAATTGGAGAGGGGAGGTCCTTTCATTGTGTAATGTGGTTGGCCAGGGCTCTCTGTAATTGATTAGTCCCTCCAGGTGCATGTCGTTTACTGAAAGGTGGGTTAATATGTAAAAATGTAATAAAACAAACCACGCTAAAATGTAATAAAACAAACCACGCTAAAATGTAATAAAACAAGCCATGCTAAAATGCAAAACCAATAATTTACAGAAACCACAATGTCCCCCTGGTGACATAAACACTGTACACATTAACATTCTGTCAATGTGATGGTAAAATCCGGGGACGGATGCTAGTTGCCGTCCTTTATGGATTTCTCCCAATTTTTCTCCCCAAAGAGTTTTATTTTGCAAGTTTTTTTTCCTGTCAGGTAGTAGATGAGCATCTGAATGTAAGACAGCCGATTGAGGCAAATGTCTTGAGTGTTGGACCACATGAACTGTATTAGATCTTATGATGTAGTGTGATGAACTGTGATCATTAATGATTTTTTTGTAATTAAGGTGTACTAGTTATCAGATGAAGACAAACTATGCATGCTTTGTTATATTCACTCATTGAGGCATAAAGCCGACTGTATCTACATTGAATGCATTGGAATGTGAGGGACAGATAGGACACAGAGGTTTCAGGTTAAAGCTGCAGCTTCACACCTCGATGTGAGGGGGACAATCCAGGAGGAGACACGTTTAAAGGAGAAGCCAATGACATTCAAATGCACCCAAGAAGACACACCTCAGGAGTTTTCAAATGACCAAAGCGGGGTAGGGACTGTTAGAATTCTCCCGCTTTGATAAGTCACTTTAGACTTGGTCAGAGAATTCTCTATTTCGCGAAATATTACACTGTTAGCATTATATTTCACCTTGTAACTGTATTACTTATAACTTTGTTTAGTTATTAACAGGTGCAGGAAGAGCTTAAAAAACAGGAACCGTTAACAAAGAAACATGTTCCCAGGATGAGCCATGATGTTAATTCTATAGTGGAATACAAGGAGTCTGTTAGCAAATGGACAAGAATTTACAGGATTTCTGAATGGGTTAGAATATAAGCCAGATGTAATATGTGTTGAAGAGACGTTGCTTAAACAAAACTTGGGGTTTGTGATATAAGGACATGTGTGTGCAGACAAAGGGACAGAGAAGAGGGAGATAGGGGAGGACGTGCCACCTTCGTTAGGCAAGGAATGTCTTATCGGGAAATAGGAAAAACAAAAGACCTAGAATAAGTAGTTGTTGATGCGTTTGTAGGGAGGGAAGTTTGGTCGTGGTAAATCTCTACAATCAGTGACTACAATTGGAAATAGAAGCAATTACATTACATATCATTTAGCTTTTATCCAAAGCCACTTACATTGCATTTTTTACCATCCCACAGAGTGGGGGTAGTGTGGCGCTGTAAAGGCGCCCGGGGAGCAGTTAAGGGTTTGGTGTCTTTCTCAGGGACACTTCGACATGGGACATGGAGCAGCCTGGATTCCAATCGCCAACCTTGTGGTTCCTGGCGCATCCTCTCTACTCCGATAAAAGGATTAGAAAGAAGAAGGGTCATTTGGTGTGGTGATTTTAATGTGCATCGTACAATCTGGGGAGGGGAACTGATAGGAATGGATTGATAGTGGAGGATGTGATGGACTCACTGGGACTGGTTTGCCTGAATGATGGAAGTGACACAAGAAATATTTATAATGCAGGGTGACGTCTCCAGAGGTTGGGATCATGAGGTGAGGCGTGGGTGCAACAACATGAAGACGACAACCAATGATTCAAAAACTTGTATTCATCAAAAAGGTCAACTTCAATCCGACAAAAATTTGTTGCTACAAAAATCAACATAAATCTCTTTGTTTGAATCGTTGTTTCTCCTCTGTAACGTGACGTCAACCTCTGCCTTTCTCCTCCCGACTCTTTTGTCCTTTTTCTTCTCTTCAAAGACGCCAGCTCTCCTCCGGTCAATCAGCGTCATCCTTTCCAGCTGGCCAGCAGCTTGGGCCCGGCTGCCTCGCTGACTACAGGATTTGTAGTTTACCTCCCATGCTGCCCTGATGGGTTCTAGTCCCTGCTGCAACCACCGGGTGGGGATGTACCTCCTGGTGATGACCAACCCTCTCATGACATCACAGTAGGTAATGAGTCAAGTTCAGACCTGACGATGGCATCACGGTCGTTGGCAGGTATTTGTGGGTGGGAGGTGTGGAAGCAGTCTGTTGTTGGAAGTGATCATTACCCTATTTTCTGTAGAGGAGGAGGTGGAAGTAGGGAGGGATCGGAAGGATCAGCAGAAAGGTGCGTTATTTTGAAAGGCACAGTGATGAATTTAGAGGAATGAGTGAAGCAACGTTTAAAGGTGTAAAAAGGAAACAGGATATAGGAACATTAAATGGAAACGTGAGAGAAGCAATGATTGGAGCTGCCAATCAGACAATCATAAGGGAGGCCGGGACAAAGAGGCGGAAGTAAGTTCCACGGTGGAATGATGAGTGCAGAGAGGCAATAAAGAAACAGAATAAGGCTTTTAAGGAGTTAAAAAAATGGGAAAAAAGACCTAGAGCTTCAGCTTTTTCCGTCTCATTGATGCATTTCTAGGGGAATCCTCATAGAGATAATTGATATTAAAGATATTTGAGAATATACGTCTGCATTCTTTAGACAGATCATAATGATGCAGTAAAATTCAGCGTTGCATTAGCTGCATAACATTAGAACCTCAAATTGCTCCTCATCCTCCCTATCGTGTCTCCTCCCTCACATTCATACTCCTTTTGGCCCTTTAGCCTCTTTGCAGAAGAGCAGCTAAAGTCATAGAAGATTGAGAAGCAACACTTGTCTCTCAGGCTTTAACATAAAACATTTGCCTTTCCAAATTACTACTGCGATCAGTAATATATTTATTCAAGTATTCAAATAATCAATTCAAGAAATTTAATAAGATCACTGGAGTACAAACATATTTCTAAGATGAAACATGATTTGTTTTACTTTGGTTGGTTTTCACATTAACACGATGGAGGTCAGGTGTTGTTACTCTCTTGAATGCACAGTAGAGAGCAGCACTGGGTCGCTGTTGGAAAAACACGGAGGGAACTGTTACTGATTTGAATCACTTAAAAAAAAAAGGAAACACACATTTAAAAATGAGAATAGCAACACTAGATTTCAGTGGAAGTCACGGTTCATTTTTCAACCCTTTCTGATGTGCAGGATGCACCTGCAGGCCTCCTGTCTTTATTTAACCTCATGCAAATGAAGAGGTTATGTCTCAGTTCTCTGTGATCCTGCGCATGACTGGAAACACTGATGTATGATCTCGTTATTGTACGTGTGAGAAAAGCGACCTTTTGCAAGGTGACTCTTTTAACTTGTGAAAAAAATAATATTCCTCAACTATTAAAGAAAAGAAATATAAACAATTAGATGTATGCCATGAATTCCAAACCATACAAACAGGACTAACTGTATTACTACAAAACTGCAGGTAAATATATTCAGATCCCTTCTTTGCAAAGGTGTTGAGGGAAATAACCTCCACTGATAATAATGATGACGAATAACACAACTGTGAGAAACATGCAGGTTGAAGCTAAGCTCCTCCCCCTGTCAGTCACTCCCAGCTTCAGTGTCGTATTAAATGTCTCCCCCAGCACCTCCTCTCCTCATCCTCCAAAGCCTCTAATCTGGCAGCAGTCCGGTCTCTTTCCAAGTCACAAGGCCATTCTCATCCCACACTGACACCATGCTGGGGACCCTCTGCACTCTCATCACTGCTCTCACATGTGAGGAGGCTGACTTCCTGCAGCTTGGACTTCATGTTGGACTCATCAGTGTGTGTGTTTCTCTTGACTCCATGTCGTCTTGTTGTTTCCAGGTGTGAGTGGTGTGACGGTGGTGACACAGAAGCCTGTTGTAGCCGTGACGACAGGAGAGACAGTCTCCATAGACTGTAACCTCGGGACTGTTACTGACAGTGCTGCTCGCTGGTATAAACAGATTCCAGGAGGAGTTCCTCAGTATGTGTTACGTTTTTATCACGGCAACAGCGCTCCAACATATGGCACTGGTTTCTCATCTCCGAAGTTCACATCCACTCATCAGTCAACTTCAGATTATCGTTTGATCATAAAGAACATTGAGGAGGGAGACTCAGCCGTCTATTACTGTGAAACATGGGACGACTCTGTTAAACAGGAGGTATCACAGTGATTTACACTGTGACAAAAACCTCTTCACTGAGTACTTCTGCTTTTTGAGACGCTGACACATTTTGAGTGAAGACATCAGTCAAATTCTGTAACTTATATTTTTCATAATTACATTTGTTTATTTAATTCTGAAATCTTACTTAGTGGTAGTTATTAATAGTTTGCCACATTTACACTCTAACAAACAGAAGGAGATGAGCTCACATGTAAATGATAATGACATAAAGACATGTTATAATTAATTGCACCTTGTATCTTGAAGAACAACTGTTAACATTATATAATAATGTCTCTTATTAATGGAACACACGAAATGTAAAGTTAACACTGGACTCAGCTTACGATCTCAGCTGATCCCCATGAGTCCCACAGGGTTCGGTTCTTGGACCCCAATAATCCAAATTATTGTGTTGGAGTCATCCTCCATGACAATAACGATGCTTAGAACTTTCCTACAGATTCTTACTAAGAGTAAGTTCTTCAATAAAAAAACAAATACAAATCATTGTTAACGTCAACGAGGACAAACAAATGACAATAACATTGACTCTAAAACTATGAACCCACTGAATACTGAATAAAAATTACAAATATTTAATTAAAGTAATTCCATAACTGGATATAATACTCAAATGACATTAGCAGACTTACAAAGACAACAAACACGTCTTTTTGATCAACAGAATTCATGAAAATTGTTTTATGTGACTCACACACAATGTGTGTTTATGTGTAACAAGTGAATCAAGTGTTTAAGCTCCTCCTCACTGTCTTTATAAGCCTCAGTGTTTCTTCTCCTCACACTCCCGCCCTGCTCACCTCTCAGCTGGACTGTAAGGAACGTTTACAGCTCACACTGACAACATGCTGGGGATCCTCTGCACTCTGCTCACTGCTCTCACATGTGAGATATTCATTCATTCATTTCATGCTCCATGTTTTCATGCACAAACCTTTCCCCTGACTTTTCTCTGTGTGTTGACAGATGTTGATGCAGCGATAGTGCTGACTCAGACGCCTGCTGTCCACCCAGTTCCTACAGGACAAGAGGTTGTCCTCAACTGCAACATTCAGAGAGATGATGGACATTATGTGTCATGGTATAAACAGGTTCCTGGTGAAGCTCCTCAGTATGTTCTCAGATTTTACCATACGCACAGTTCTCCAGACTCCAGAGGATCAGGATTCTCTTCAGACCGGTTCAACTCTAAATCCTCTTCAGACACAGAATACCAGTTCATCATAAAGCGTTCAGAGACAGGAGACTCTGCTCAGTATTACTGTCAGACATGGGATAGATCTGCTGATGAAGCTGTATCACAGTGGTTCACACTGTGACAAAAACCTCCATCAGAGACCTACTGAAGATTTATTGATTCTCAGCTAAATCAGACACATCAAATAAGGGAAACGTCTTTAAAACATTGAAGGACAACAAATCAATTCCTGTGAAGAGACAATTCAGTCTGGAGCAAATCAAACTGATGAAGTTAGTGAGATGTTGACAATGAAAGTTGGTCTCAACAGGATCTTTCAGTTCCACGATCATCAGAGCGAGTCGAGAGGTTTTTGTACAGCCATGTGTACCAACTGAATCACTGTGGTATTCGGACAAGGAACCAAGCTGACGGTGACAAGTAAGTAATTTAAATCTCTTCTTAAAACGTAAGCAATTCTTTTGTTTCTACTTTATTTAGAGATTTATGTAATATGTTAATCTTTTATTTCTTATACTTTATGAATCTATTTAACATGTTCGATTTTGTTCTTAACAAGTTATTTTTTAGCAGACAATTTTTGTTGTAAAATTTTTTACTATATTGATTTCAGCTACTCACTGATAACTAACATTTAAAAACAATTTTAACAACATCATACTTTAAAATGATCAATGTTAAAGTCTGAATATTAATTTACTGAGTTTGTGATGATTAACTACTAATCTTTTAAAATGAAGGGCAAACTTTAATGTATCTTTATTCTTTGGTTTTAACACCACATTTGCTGAATTTTGAAATTGTAGTTTTGCTTTGATAGTAAGATAAATAAACCGAGGTCAGTTCTGTTTCACTGTATTCTAACAACTACAAAGGAGATTAAGATACAAATAAGACTAAGTACAAATATAACTGTATTTAACATAAACAACATAGAACATCTCGTTGTATTATCTAGTTTGTGAATGATAGACTTTGTTTTTGAACTCTGATGGTTTCTAAATGTTTTTTTGTCTTTCTCCTCAACTTACTAACAGATTCCTTTTGCCGCCATGATTTGCATCAATAGCTCCACTTCCCTTCATTTAAAGAATGCCTTTTGTGTGTTTCAGGCTCCAGCCTCCGTCCTCCCGTCCTCACTGTCTTTCCTCCGTCCAGTGCTGAGCTGCAGTCCAACAAAGCCTCTTTGGTCTGTCTGTCCAGTCAGTCTGGGCCTTTTGCAGATGTGACCTGGATGTCTGGAGGGAGTCCAGTGGTCACTGGGATCTCTACCAGCACCGCTGTTAAGCAACCTGATCAGACGTTCCACATCAGCAGCTATCTGGCCATCCAGGCGTCAGACTGGAACATGGATAAGGTTTACACATGTAAAGTGTCTTTGGGCTCCCAGACTGCAGAGAAAAACATCAAGAAGTCTGAGTGCCTCACTGAACAACAGTAGAGGAGCAGAAGGACCATTTAACATCTGCTTCTTCCCTCTTTGTGCTGTTTATTCATCACGAGCGTTACATGTTAGAACATGTGTCTCCACGCTTGTAGTACATGTTGTTGACACTTAGGTAGAGGTGTTGTATCCGCTTTGCAAACGGTAAAATGTAGTAAAACCTTTTGAATAAAAAGCATTTTGTAAAACAACATATTTCGTGTCTCTTTATCACTGACAGAAAAGCATATTATACTCATGGTATTCTTTGAACTCATCTAAACTTGTGTGACACAATGTGACACAGGAATCCAGAACCATAACATAGTAACATTTTTACAAACGACCATCGGCCGTTTTTTATTTCCAAAAGGTATAATGTTTTAAAAAGCACTGTCAGAAAAGATCTAGATAAATGGAATCATCATTTATGTGCTGCAGTCAGACATTGTCACATTGAGGAATTCATTAAACATTGTTGAATATTGAGTTTGAAAGATTGGCGTCTGAAAAAATACAAGTTTGGGAAAGTTTTTAAAGCTGTCATATTTTTGAGGCAAATACTATTTACCATACTTACTGTATTATTGACTAAATGGTGGAGTTTTAAATGCACAGAAATGTATAATTTCCACTAATCAAGTTTGATGTGAAGCAACCTTATGTTTCTTGCATCACATTATAAAACATATTCTTATTCTTTTGTTGTATTTGTTCTTCAAGTCGTCTTGGAACGTCTTATAGTAACAATAATAATCCTGGTGTTTCAAAAAGGTGTGTTAATCTTTTTTGTAAAGAACATCAAAATGATGAAGCCCGTCTTTGTCTGTCAGATTATCTTTGAAGGAAAGCTTATCATCTATTTTTTGTTTAGGTGTGTATACAAATATTATGAATATAAATAACTACCACTTCAAATATCTGTTAAGATGAAATATAAGTTACAGAAACTGACAGATGGCTTCACTCAAAATGTGTCAGCGTCTCAAAAAGCAGAAGTACTCAGTGAAGAGGTTTTTGTCACAGTGTAAATCACTGTGATACCCACTCTTTAACAGAGTCGTCCCATGTGTTACAGTAATAGACGGCTGAGTCTCCCTCCTCGATGTTCTTTATGGTCAAACGATAATCTGAAGTAGACTGATGAGTGGATGTGAACTTTGGAGATGAGAAACCAGTGCCATATGTTGGAGAGCTGTGGCTGCTATGAAAACGTAATACATACTGAGGAACTCCTCCTGGAATCTGTTTATACCAGCGAGCAGAATTGTCAGTAACAGTCCCGAGGTTACAGTCTATGGAGACTGTCTCTCCTGTCGTCACGGCTACAACAGGCTTCTGTGTCACCACCGTCACACCACTCACACCTGGAAACAACAAGACGACATGGAGTCAAGAGAAACACACACACTGATGAGTCCACCATGAAGTCCAAGCTGCAGGAAGTCAGCCTCCTCACATGTGAGAGCAGTGATGAGAGTGCAGAGGGTCCCCAGCATGGTGTCAGTGTGTGATGAGAATGGCCTTGTGACTTGGAAAGAGACCTGACTGCTGCCAGATTAGAGGCTTTGGAGGATGAGGAGAGGAGGTGCTGGGGGAGACATTTAATACGACACTGAAGCTGGGAGTGACTGACAGGGGGAGGAGCTTAGCTTCAACCTGCATGTTTCTCACAGTTGTGTTATTCGTCAGCATTATTATCAGTGGAGGTTATTTCCCTCAACACCTTTGCAAAAAAGTGATCGGAAAAGATGTTCTCCAGTTTTGTAGTAACACCATTGGGGCCTAGTCCTGTCTCTACTGATTTAAATTCATGGCATGGATCCAATTTTGTACATTCTTTTTAATCTGTATATCTTCTTTCTTAGGTAGTTCAGAAAAATGTTCTCACAAGTCAAAAGGAGAGTCGCTTTACAAGAGATTCTCAAGTGTACATTAAATACTTGCAACACATTTTTAATAATAATCTACATCAGTGTTTGCAGTGACAGACAGGATTACATAGAAAACACAATAGTTATATGAGGTAAATGTTATTAACAAACCTCGTCAGAAGTCAAATACAGTTACCTCTTGTCTGCTGAGACTCAACCTCCTCATTTACATGGAGCTATGAATAAGAAGAGGAGGCCTGCAGGTGCATCCTGGGAAACAAGGGGGGAGTAGAGAGGTGATGCTTCACTGATAGAGGATGAAAACGCAAGTTTCGTTTGCTCATTTTATTTAATATTCAAACATTGCAACTAAGTCAATCCTTATTTTAAAATGAGTGAGTTTAGTAGCAAACATCAACATGGTCAAAAATGTATTATTTTGTCACGATGGTTGGTTTCCTCCTATAATGAAATTATCAGTGTCAGAAATAAAAAATAATTTGCAAAAACTTTCCCTCATCTTGCTGATGCTAATCAAGATACAGATATACAGCAACTCTCATGAAGCAATTTGATATAGATGCACTGTAAAATAATTGACATTAAAGTATTCCACTGAAACTGGTTGTAGTTCCCAGCAGGTGGTCCGACCCGCTCCCTCAGTCCACAAGTCACAGTGTGCTTTAATCTCAGGACCCTTTTCCCCAAAGGTTGGTCCAGCGTCTGGCAGCTCCACCACCATTGATAGTGTACGTGAATGATTAACAACAACTAAAAGCCTTTTGTGGTGCTAGTTCCAATTTTCCATTTAAATATTTTTAATAACATTTTATGTAAACATATATATACTGTGACAAATCATAACTGTAGACTATACAGCCAATGTGATACTTAATGTTTAGCTATTCAAACACAGAGGAGCAAGATGAAAGGGCCAATAAGTTGATTCAAGCTGCCACCTTGTGGTCAAATGTATCTTTTTATAAAAAAAAAAAGAAAAATGTTTCTTTTCTAAACCAAGCATGAGCATGTGACCTCTTGTCGCATTTCACTCCTCAATAAAACTACAAACTAGACATCTGGAAATAACCACAATAACACTCTGTTGATGCATCAGTACTGATCGGTCTACGGCCTCTGTGGTCCTCTTCTCCTGGCTCTGATCACCTTTGACCCCTTGATTGTCCCCTTGTCAGGAGCCCTCATCTGAGCTCTCAGTGGAGACCTCACACCGATGGGGGGGGGAAGCCTCTGTACGGGCCGCTGAGCCACAGACAACCTGCCGTCCTTCAGGTTGTCCACAAAACCCTCCACGCTGTCTAACTTTGACGTGAGCTTCCCCAGCTCATCTTTGAGAGTGTTAAAGTTCCTGTAGAGGTCTCTCAGGGCATCGGCCAGAGGCTGGATCCTGAACACATGCAGAGTACAAATCAGTCAATTATTTAGTCATTTACATGATCAGCCAAAGAGCTTTGTGTAGTTGTTACGTGCAGTGCTACAAGGGAATAGGTCTACAGATATGGTGTTCTTTTTTTTGAGTTGTTGGTTTGTGTTTTTGTCTCCCCCTTCTGTTTCCATTCTCTCACTTCACAGATGTGCACACCTGTTCCCCTAATCCAATCACCACCTGTTCCAGATCTCCCATCAACCATTCCTCTTTATATAGTCAATGTCAGTAGAGGAGGGCTATTTTGTGTTGAGCTGGGCCCTCGGTTGGAAGAGCACTGTCTTGTGGTAGTTTTTGTAATATCTTTTGGTTGTGCGCACAAGGTCAATGAGGACAGGTAAGATACTCCAGGGTTTACATATTGCATACACGTAGGTGTACCTGTTGTTAGTACCCTAGGCTAGAGTGAGCCCCACCCACTGTACTTTTGGGTGCTAAGCACCGGTCAATGAGAGGGGGGGGGGGGTGTTTATGTTCTTTTCCTTGTTGATCCCTGTGTTGCTCTTTTGCAAAATAAATACTTTTTTGTTACATTTTGTGTGGTGGATTTTGTTTGGCTGGCGCCTCACTTGCTTTGACCTGTTGCCCTTATGTTGAGCTCCAGGTCGAGCCACCAGGGAGCGTAACAGTAGTGCAGTGTAATGTTTCATAAGCTTACATGAGAAGGAGGAACGTTGTTCATACTTAAAATCTAAAAGAGAAATCCAACTTTAAACATGACCATGAAAGTCCACAAACTGTGTTAAGCAAAAACAGCCCCATCATACGCAGGAAACATCATGGAAAAAAAAGGAAATAACGGATGTCACTTGATAAGAGACACTTACAGTTGTCATCAGGAGGACATCAGGCCATATCGCTGTGTAGATTCGGTTGTTGCTGTGAATCATTCTTTTTAGGTCAGAGGAAAAGCAGAAAGTGCCAACCAGGCAGACACAGGTCTGATGAGGATGAGATTTAGAGACACACCAAGCACCATACAACACTCACGCTTTGTTCCTTATGTTCATGTGGCAAGCGTGAGGTGGGGTAGGAACTACCCCAATAATCTATGTTTTTAACTAGGGGAAAAAGAAAAACTAAAGGAAACCAGCAACGCCACCCTGGGAGAAATCACCCAGGGAAAAGAAAGAAATCTATGAATAAGGTAAATTACTAAATCTAAACAAAAGGACAACACAAGTTCGTTACACTGAGCAGGCGAGAGACGTGTTTCCAAAAGCATATACAACAGTTTATTGGGCACAATTCAAATCTAAAAAAAGTTATCCTATTTGTATAAATTATCATGTATTCCAGGGCTGGGGCAGTTGTGCTCAAGGTGAGTGAGGGGTGAAAGTATAAACTTAAAATGGGAGCACCACAATCCAAAATTAACACTCCAAACACACAAGGGCAAAGCAAAACAAAGGAGGGGAGTGAATAAGACACTACACACGAAGGGACACCATCACCAAACAGGATCACCAGTGAGGCCCTCAGCACCTGGAATCACAAAGATGGACAGTTAATGGGAGACTGAAAATAAATTCAACAACAATAGAGATCCAATACAAATCAAAAAGAAAGGAAAATATCAAAACAGGTTACAGTTTGAACTCAAAGAACTAAACCATCAAATAATCAAAAATAGCTACAAAAATAATAAAGAAAAATCTCCCTTGCCATCCACCTCCTATTTCAGGCAGCTAAACATGAAAACATAATACAATAGGCATAAAAATGCGGACAACGGGATTTCCACACCCGAACGCAGCAGCAGGCAAGGTCCGTAAAAAGTGTGGGTTTTATCCCCACACAAAGCAGCAGCAGTCCAAAACGGGTCAGGGCAGTCGGGACCTCAGCGTGGCATAGCTCCGGGACAAAACGAGCAAACACGCAGTCCGACCTGCCAGCGCCTGCACATAAACGCAAGTTTATTACGGTGCAGACTAAATCGCCGACGCGCAATAGACTGCAACATACCTGCACGGTGGAACAATTTGCACAACCCTGCAGAGAGTGCCGAGCGTCTGCCGAACCTGCAGCCAGGTAAACCCGGAAGGGGGAGGTGCGTATCAGCTGTCAGAGAGCGAGCAGATCTACAGGTCCCTCCTTATATAATAAATTAAAGGGGCACAATACTGCGAGTGGGCGGAGCCACTGGAAAAGCAGTCATCCTGCTACATTCACGTTATGTTAGAAGACCACACATTGCATGTGATTGGATCTTGTGTTGTGGCGAGAGGTCCTGCTCCTCCTCAACGCCAGTTTAGGGCCAAGACAAATCTTTCCGTTTATATCTAACAAGAAATATAAAACAATGTTCTTTGTTTCGCTTAATCCTTCCAGATCTCCCCAACCGGGCTTCCAATTTTTGATCACGTTCGTTCGCTTTGTGTGAGCTTTCAGTAGATTGCGCTCAATGATCTCCTGCACCTGCAGAGGCTCATTTACTTTACGGGGACCAATTCGGGAGCTCTGGCAGTAAGGAAATGGCCAACAGCGTGGCAGAATGAAATGGGGATCAAGTGTGCAAATTGCAGAGGGGCACATAGTGCGGCTTAAGGTGGGTGTGAAGTGAGACAGACAGCAGCAGAAGTGCAGCAGCTGAAAGGGAAAAGGGGATGGGGGGTCAAGGAAGGAACGGCTCAGCGGCCAAATGGACAACGTGTGATGAGTCAAAAAGGAGATGTGTTAGGGATTTAAGAGGTTCACCCCCAAGGGTTGGAAATTATAATACATGTAGTAATGTTTACCGTTAGAATTGTAGTTTGTTTATGTTAAATATTAGTTATTACATTAGCATGTTAGATGAAGTGAATGCAATATGAATCAAACAAAATTTATAGTCATGTAAACTATATAAATGTCAGCCCTGTGAGGCGGGGGACTTAAAATCTAATAAAAAAAGATAAATTTATTAAAAAGGTACCAGCAACGCCACCTAGTTGCGGAGTCTAGGTCTCCATAAAACAGGTTCTTGTTCACCAGAGGAAGAACAGCATGGATCACAAGACTTAAAAGCGTGGTTTAAAAGGAGGATTTTATTATTAACTAAAAACCCATAAATAACTACAATATTAAAAGTCCAGCGGGAACCAAGTACTAAAAGGATTTAAGAATTCGACCAGCCACTGCTGCTGATCAGTCTTGCCCTTTCTTCTTGTTTCCGGTTCCGTTCCTTTCCTGGGTGAGG